CGCTTATTAATCTAAAAGTTATAGCATGAAAACTATAACAAGCACAAAATGGTTACGAGGTTGGTCCCACAGACCGAGCTCATGCTGAAAGAGTTAAGATGGGTCTAGAATGCTTAGAAAGTTCTAACGTGATATCAGGTTTTTCTCAAAAATTTGAAGCTAAATTATAAATGTGAGATAGTTTTATAGTGTATAGACTTATTTCAAGATATTGTTGTATCAGCAACTGTGTTATTGTGAAGTATTTAATCTGTGTTTCCTATTGCACTGGTTCAGTTACTTTTGATAAATAAGGTGATCTTATATTATTCTGAGTATTGTTAGAGAGGTTGGAATATCATTTTTAATAAAGGCTTACAACAAGTTATGACAGTGTACAAGTGTTCAATTTTGTAGAAACATTAAAGGAGCAAATAATGTAATTTGTTTTTGTTATGTTATGTTAGACAGAACATTGAAATATATTCACTAGATAACTTAAAAGAACCTGACAAATAAAAACGTTACAAATAATATCAATTAAGCTATTAAATCACCCAACTCTAGTTTGAGGACATAGGTTTTTTGATAATCTTAAACAGTTTGAATTTGGTTTTGTTATTGATAAAGATTGATAAACCTGGAGTGTTTCTGTAAAGAAAAAAGGTATATATACATGTCTAGTCATACTAACTTTGCTCGACAATTTTGAAACATGGAAATACTAAAAAGCACGTAGAATTGTCAAATTACTAAAAAAACTTGGTTAATTTACTGTAAAGTTTAAAGGTATCATATCTGTTAAACATATTAAAAAAGGATAGAATGAGATATTGAAGTTACTTTCAATTATTGAACCTTGTTCTTTTCAATTTCAGGAACAAGTACAGAGTCTCATTGTCGACACTACCAATTTCAATGCCACAATTCAAGTGAATGCATTGCTATTTATAATGTGTGTGATGGAATACCTCAGTGTATGGATGGTAGTGATGAAGGAAAAGATTTGCAATGCCCTGGTCCAGGTGATATTTCTATGTACTTGAGGTTTTTATAAAACTGAAAAGTGTTTTATTTTGTTAAGGATATTTTCATGTTATTTCTTGTATGAACAACATTTATGGTCTAAAACTTATGATTAATTATTTGTTCTGTCTATAGAGAAAGTTTTATTCTGTTCTTAAACAGTTTATATTGTGCATTTGCTTTTTTATCGGTACCATCTATCAGGAAGGTTTTTCTAACTGCAGAGGTCTGTATGTCTTGTTAATAGTACTGTCTGCTGGGAAGGCTGTTCTACCTGTAAACAACTGAATTTTTTATTATTAGTACTATCTACTGGAAAGGTTGTTCTGAAAACCTTCCCAGTAGACAGTACTAATAACAAAACATAGTTTTTTAGTAGAAGAACAATGTTTCCAGTAGGCAGTTCTAATAAATAAACAAACAGATGTTTATGGGTAGAACAACATTTCCAGTAGGCAGTTCTAATAAATAAACAAACAGATGTTTATGGGTAGAACAACATTTCCATTGGAAAGTACTAATTATAAAACATACAATTGTTTATGGGAAAAACAAGTTTCCAAGTAGACAGTGCTAATAATAAAATATGCAGTTGTTTTAATGGATCTGTAAACAACTGTATGTTTTGTTATTAGCACTGTCTACTGGGAAAGTTGTTCTACCTGTAAACAACTGTGTTTTATTATTAGTACTGTCTACTGGGAAAGTTGTTATACCTGTAAACAACTGTATATTTTATTATTAGCACTGTCTACTGGGAAGGTTCTATTTGTAAACAGCTGTATATTATTAGCACTGTCTACTGGGAAGGTTCTATTTGTAAACAATTGTTTTATTATTAGTACTGTTTACTGGAAAGGTTGTTCTACCATTAAAACAACTGCATATTTTATTATTAGCACTGTCTACTGGGAACGTTGTTATACCTGTAAACAACTGTATACAAGGTTCTATTTGTAAACAACTGTTTTATTATTAGTACTATATACTGGTGAGGTTGTTCTACCCTTAAACAACTGTATTTTTTAATATTAGTACTGTCTACTGGGAAGATTGTTTTACCTGAACACAGCTGTATGTTTATTAATAATATTTTCCAAAATGGTCTTACCACTCCAAAGCTATCTAGATCTTGGACTGCCCTCTAAGCATTGCTAAAATTAATTGCTAATGGTGCTCCAGTCTTTTATACCCCACCACATTTGCACCATTTCAGAACATGTGCTACCCCTCCATCAATCAAACTGCACCATCTCTACTAGTGCAGCGAGCTCCCTCTACTATTCTAGAATAATCCTCACTTTCTGTATTGGCACTCTAGTGTGTAGATGTGTGTTTTAACTTGTTCTCCATGTGACTACAAAAAATTTGATTGTGCTTGATCACAAGTTTATATCAGTTTCAACTTAAAATTTTGACTTGTGTCTGATTTCTATTGTTTTTACTCATTTGTTTTAGAAAGATTTCTATTTTCTAAATTCCCACGACAGTCAACAATGGTTCTGACATGAGTCCCATGTCTCAGGGTCAATGATGTCTGCTGGGGAAGTACAGGCTATAGTTCGCAGGAGTTTGTGTCTTATGTTCAGCCAACGATTTCTTCCTTTCACATTATGATTTTTGTGAGGAAGGATATAACTACTGAGTGGAAATTTCTTTATACTACACCTTCCACCTGTTACCACACCTCCAAGAAATCTTCGGGGTTAGGTATTGTTCTTTTTCCCAGAAGATCTGTGGTAAGTTTTTCAGCATGTATTACTCGCTCCCAGTAGGTATATCCATGTTTAGCGAGTTTATATGAGTTTGTGTGGATTGACCTAATTTCCTCACATGATAATTTAGGTCTTTCATGTTTTCTCTGCTCAGTATTTGATAAGTTACATTTTTGTAATTTTTTTACCATCTA